CTTGAGCTAGTACGTTGACTACTCAGCGTCATTCACTCTTGACAACGGCCATCGCTTCTATTTCAGATCTGCCCAGTTTCATTTTTAGCCAACGTGACGCTAGTGACGCACGGGTTAAGAATAAATACCATTATCAGTAATGGTATGACGAGCCACCCTTAAGCAGAGTGAGGAAGAAGAGGGCCATTGCCAAGATACTGTGGTCCAAGTTTAAATCGGGTGAACCCACTGGTTCTCAAAATTATGAACGGACTCGCTGGAAGGCAGGCTGTCAGAATTGCATGGTAGAGGACAGCCGTCAAAATAGAAAACGAATTTATGAGCGAAACAGAATAGCCGGTGACTTGTGGGGACGATGGAACACTTGGAGTCTCGGGCCGCTGCGATGCTGGAAGCCGACTAATCAGTTGGCGTGTGTTTGGTTACTTAGGCGGTGTCATGGCACAGAGAGGCTTTGGAGTCGGAGCTAGTCACTTAGAACACAACATGCTTGAATTTGATCGTTTAAGGGGCCAGGTTTACGGGGAACAAGCCGACCTACTGTTTGAGGAAGAACGTATGTGATTTTCACTTAGAGATGCGTCAGTAATGCTCATGTTTATGTTGTCGTTTGAAGGAAAGATCAAGCAAGATATCTGGCTATCTAGCGGGTCATCGGGGTTTATTTGGTTGAACTGAAATGGTACAGGATGATTGGTTCGGTAGCGCGAGAAAATTCAGGGCCAAAAGACACCTGTGTGGAATTTGAGTGGGCCACGGGGTCTCAGCGTAGTGTGAGGGGATTCCACTGACCACTGTGTTGTGTCTTGATGGACGGTTGTGCAACTCTGTACGGTCTCTTGGCTTCCTACTCCGCCCGTTATCGTCTATCAAAAGGCGCGGTAGCTCTACAGCCCTTCATGGGGACCAAAGGAGAATAATTACACCTGTATTTATGGTGTAGTCACAGTATTCCACAAGGTCGTGCTAGAATTACCGTGAGGGGGCGAGGAGCGTCGAGTCAAAGGTGCTTGACTCGGATCACTAGCATTCTGAGGAATCAGGGCATGCCTTCGTTTGGCCCGTGTCCTGCACGTGACATCCGTCCAAATGAAGTGGTGTTCGGTTATTAGAGACGGCTGGCCTCCGTACACAATGAGAGCCAACGAAGCCCTATTTAGCCGCACAAGAGTTAAAATATCTAGAAGACTTTTGGACTGCGGTTTTTGGTGAAGGATTCTGGACGCAGGTTTGCACGCACAAACGCCAATTTGGTTCGCATGGTTACGCAGGAAGTTTGTATCTTGAGAATTGCCTTTTAGATACGCAAAAATTAGTAGTCTGCGTGCATTGCAGAGGGCGAGGTGGTTCGTCATATTAGCCTTGCGTGCCTATCTCTTGAGACTGAGAGAGTGTCGTTTTAGTAGAGTGTTAACTACGTAAGGCGTTAATCTCTACGGCTTGCACTTGTTGAATAGAGCAGAAGGGGGCTTGGGAAGCCAGTAAACGTAAGGCGTGTTTTTCATCCCAAGAACAAAAATAATATCGGGCAACACACGGACGGTTTTGGCTTTTGAACTCATGTAGATGGTGTCAGGCATGCTGCATGCTGTTTGCGGCGTTAGTATCTCGGATCGAGGCAATAATATGAAATTAGTAACATTTGGTGCAAAGGCATCCAATTTTGGGGCTGCGGAAATACGTGATGTGATATGTACTCCTTGACCTCCAATTCGAACAATGAAGCAATTCTGTAGTACATCAAAATGCATCATGAAACTTACCAAGTAAATAAGCCTTCTTATTCCCTCCGAATTCGTTGTCGTGCCGTATGGATCTAAACGGAGTTCTCAGGCATAATAAATGGCACCTTTAAATAGTTTAATGAATCGTCATGTTGAACAAGTAAAGTTTAACGTCGACCTAAGCTGGATGGTTGTGCGACCAGTGGTATCGGTATTCAGCCAGGTTTTTAAAAACGCACACGGGTATACTGGGTAAAAATTGTTCTTAAATTCACTCATTTTCACGCCACTTTGATATTGACGAAGGTGGAACTTGCATTCCAGCTGAAGCCCCGTTATGCTACTTTTACCTGAATGTGCTGTGCAAGGTCCATCTAATACTTCAGGATGTATGAAACTGGGGATAAAGCGGTATAGATTCTTGAGAAAGAACTAACCACAAGATCGCTGAAAACTCCTCGGCAAGAAGAGGCCGGTTTTAGCCTTCTTGGCGCTCATCAGATTGATGCATCGCCTAGATTCTATCAATTGTGTGTTCCCTTTGAAACCGAATCGTATGGCATTAGCTAACTAGGATTAGTCGAACATGGTGCTGCCGATAAGTTTGTTGCCATTGGCCCCGCAAGTATGTCGTCAGGCACGACCGAAGTCTGTTCACTGTTGGGGCGTTCACATTTCACACAACACTTCATCGTTTGGTCAGCAGTTATGTGAACAAGAACGACCCTCAACTGTTATCCACGCTGCACTTAAGGTTCATTTCAGATCGCTTTTAGATGTTTTGTGTGAATTACCGCACCGACACAACTATCAGAACTTGAAGAGACTGTTTATTTCGTTTTTTGCGTTTCCGATCAGCTGAAGCTACTGAACGACAGGAACCGTCATGATTCAGGAAGCTTGGGAAGACGCCTTGGCCCTATGGATCACTCAGTGAAGCGAACATTTCAACCGCTGAAAACAATGAAATGGTGAAAAAAGAAAATAGGCAATACAGAAGAAAACAAAACAAAAATAGTAGTGGGATGGATTTTCTCTCCTACTCCCTTTTTCTCATTGCCTTTCATCTTAACGTAAATTTGTCCACTCTACGCGAATAACGCGAACCTCCTACTATAGATCCTATAAAGCCTACATGCCTACCAGAGACTGAGACGACACTAACCATCTACCGTCCCCACTAGCCCACCTAAAGTTGATCAACAAGCAGCTAGTGCCTCACTGGTTCTGTGAGAAACTGTTTCTCGATTCTGATTGGTCGGTGACCGGACTACTCAGGGCGCGACCATTTGGGCTGGTGGCCTATTCGCTCGCAGTTACGTGTTCGACGCACTGTTTGCCTGTCCCTGCTAGCCCGTCTCCGGACAGTGCATAGAACACCGCTGTGTAATCAATGATGGCGCATTACCAAAGCTTGTTTGGACGTCCCGATGTACGATAGCGTCGCCTAGATAATCGACCAGTGTGCTCCTCTGGGCAGAAGCTCTGATTTTGTTCCATAGGCGCCCGATGTTTGGGGAGGTTTTTTGGTTGCGATGCTTGTCAGTCTGATAGCTTGAGGTTGTCGCACGCAGGTTTAATACTCCTGCCACTCATGTGCACCAGCGAGGAAATGAGCTGTGCGGAACCTGTTCAAAGAACGATACACGTTTGGTAGAAGGGGTGATAGTGATTGAATATGAAGACCGGTTATAGCTGCTACATGACTAGAGGCGAACGGTTCGCACTGTATCGAATCTGCCGTGACGATTAGGCTTTCTCCCAGACTTTGCAGATCGGCTTTGTTCTTGTTGTCCATCCGTCCAACTAAAATCTACGAGCGAAAAAGTGGTGGAGCACCGTTCTTCAAGTTCTAAGCACTGGACAGTAAGCCTACCAGCATGAGAACTAAAAAGAACGATTTAAATCTGTGGACGTAACACCGCTGAAAACTATTCGGTAGCCAATATAGTTTTCTCCGTTTTTGGGGTTTATCAGACAGGTACAGTCTCCGAGTTTCCGTTGCCCGTTTGGTTTGCTTGGAACGAAATTGCACGGACTTCCACTTGTCTGCATACCAATTTGGTTTGGACGGGAGACTCATTCGGAAACGAACGGTTTTTCGTTAACGTCCATACGGTGCACCGTGATGTCAAATGCCGTGCCAACTGTAACATGAGACGGACTGGTGTAGTACACTTAGTTGAACAACATTAACAAGGGGTTCAACTGGGTCCCAGGAGAGTCTCCCGTGAAAACCAAATAGTTATGCGGATGAGTTTATACTGAAGTGAGTTCTAGATGCAGCATGAACAACTACCGCATGAAGTTTATTCCATGGTACAAGCATTGAAACGCTCGTGAACTTGCCGCTACGTGAAGACGATAGACCGAACTGAGTTTGTTCTATGCTCCGCAAGCGAGGTGGGGGTCTGCTGTCAGTGACACCCCAACTATCATACAAAATCATTAGTCTTTGGGACTGGCTGCGTTAGTGGAAGAGTTGATTGGTAACAATTTCAAGCATAAACTAGATGAACATCTGTAAGGACAGTGGTGCCGAGGCCGATTTCAGTGACTGGACATAGGTCAATGTGGTGACAGGGCTCACATCAATTACCTGCTGCCCTACACCAACTGATTACTTCATTAGGGACACTGTTACAAGACTTCAAGCTCCAAGCACGGTCATTGAGCTAACAGTCCCATCAATCTCCACTCGTTTCCGGTAGCGTAACCCTGGCGATCCACAGGCTGCTGTGGGGAATGCACAGGGTTCGACATTGTCCTCAATCACCTAGCAGAAAGATCTTTGCTGGTCTGGGTACCCGCTGATAGTGGCACCTGTGAGTTTATTCTGGCAACTTCCGTTAAGGAGTCTCATAAGCGGGCAGCTGATCGTTGTCCGCCTATCATGTCTGCTTGCGTCCCAACCGACGGTACCCTTGGTGCTTTCAAAGACAGCTCTTGGGACGCCACTGTCCTGTTACAGTGGACAGAAACTTTAAATGTCGTTGTGGTTGCCAGAAATTTGAATACACAGTCTGGATGACTCAATTTGGTGATCAACTTGAATTAGACTCGTTTCAGTACAGACTGCGGTGAACAACTTTTAGCTGTGTGCTGATAGAGGACTGTTTTTGTGCAGCCAGGGAGGCCAAGGAGGACAGCCAGACCAAGAGCAGCGAGACCCCGTGCTACGAGTAATCGTGCTACGAGGTGGTCTGCGGACAAAGTCGGAATGTCCTCTGCGACAGGAGTGTTAAGACAGTGAGGTGTTTCCCCCAGGCGACCAGCATGTCCATATTTATGGAAGTAGCGATGCTGCCTTCCCCCGAGGAAGGATGGGTTAGAAAAGGTCGGCCCCAAAAGCCACACACTCCGATCTCCCAACGGTTGACCGTGACCGCC